TCCAAAAAATGCAAAATGGGGTTGTTTTTGCCGCAAAAAACCTCTAAAAGGCATGGGGTTGGGGGGGGGGTCCTCAAACCATTCCCACCCCTTTTAATTTTCCCTTTAAGAAAATCAATTTCCTATAAATGCCCAAGGAAAAAGATTCGGGGTGGGATAAATTTTTCCCGGGGGGGGGGGTGGAGGGCGGGGAGGGGGGGAGAGGTGTGGTTTCACAGAAATTCATGCACATTTGGTTCACTTCTCTATGCTTTACCCTGAGTTCTAACCTAAGAATTGATTACTATAATGTGTATGGGGCAATTTTCAATTTCTATTCATATCCTAGTCCTGAAAAACCAGTTTTAAAAGCCCTTCGATAAGAATAGAAAGGTTATTTTAGTCAGGCTTTCCTTGATAAATAATAGCTAAATTGACTTGCGGGACTGTGTTTTTTCTCCACCATTTCTATTTGTGATACAAAGCTGCAAATAGAATTGAAATTGAGGGGCTCAATTTCAATTCAGGGGCTCCTCAAATTCTCAACTAGCAGCTCTCCGTCCTTCAGAGGGGGCGTTTCCCACAGCGTCCCCAGGCTCTAATGAGTTCTAGAGTTTTCACTGCTTCCCTTGCTGACCAGGTCATGTGCATCTCAGGGCGGTGTAGAGCTCAATTCCTGAAGGTTTACTGAAGAATTTGACAAGTTGGCTTTCAAACTTATAGTAACCAGAGAGCTAAAATTTAACATTTGTGGATTATAATTTTATTTTTCATGAACTGTGATGAAATTTAAAACTGGCTTTCACTTCCACAGTTTATAATGAAGATATAGTTTTTTTTGATATTTGCTTACTCCAGTGTTTAAAGTATTGGAGAAAACTGAGATATGACATCAGTAAAAATTATAGTAAAACATTTGGTTGATTCTAAATGTCAGGATAGAGAGTGAATGTAGATAAACCTGCCAGGAATTTTATTAAAATTTTAGCTTCGTGTAAGTCTTAGATCTAATTGACATAATGTTCAATGGGAAAAAGCATAGGCTCATCTAGCGTAACTCGTGGGTTTTCTAGATGAGGACAACAAAATATATAAATGTTAAGCAACTTGCCAAGACCAGAGTAACAGGACCTGCATGAGAAGTCAGATCACCTGACTTTTGTGTTACTAAATTTCTTCAATGATTTTTCAAGTTTCTTTCACATTAAATATGTACTAGCAATAACTGGGCATTCTTCTGGATCTATAAATGGACTACCAATGATATGGAAGTGAAAATTTTCTTACCCAGTCACACTTGAAAATTCATGACAGTATGTATGGTATGATTATGACATAATGGGGTATATTTTTCATTTGTGGTTTATGCAGTCAATCTTGTTCTTTATTACATTAATGGGTTTTTAATCTCAGGAGCTGTTAGCCCCTCTGTAGGAAGGTAACGTGTGTGTATAGGTTGTGGTACAGCCAATCAGGGACATACTCACCTCACCTATCATTCCATAGGTGCATCTTACCTACCTGGCTGTCTTCTCTAACACTGGAATGTTTTTAAATTTATCTTTTGACCCTTCACCCATTTCTCTCACCCACCACCTTCTCATCTGGCAACCACTTTTCTCTGCATCTATGAGCTAATGTGCTCAAGGTCCATCCATGCTGTTACAAATGGCATAATATCTCCCTTTCTCATGTCTTAATAATACACACTTTACAGCTGACAGCTCAATTGATGTTTCTTTCTTTTCAGATTTAACCCATTGGAATTAATTATTCAAAGAGTGTATACATTTTTGGGGGGGACACCCTGTATATATAGTTATATGTCTATGTCTATATCTATAATCTATATCACATTGTTTTTATCCATTAATTCATTCATGGGCATTTAGGTTTTTCCATATCTTGGCTATTATGATATTATTAGTGCTATAATAAATATGGGAGTGCATATATCTCTTACATAATCCTATTTTCATTTCTTTTGGCATATACCCAAAGTGGATTCTACGGTAGATCTATTTTTAATTTTTTGAGGAACCTCCATATTGTTTTCCATACTGATTGGACCGATTTATATCCCACCAACAGTGCAAAAGGGTTCCCTTTTCATCACATCCTTGCCAGTACCTATTGTCTCTTACCTTCTTGATGATAGCTATTCGAACAGATATAAGGTAATATCTCATGTGGATTTGATTTGCATTTCCTTGGTGATTAGGCATATTAAACACCTCTTTTGATCTGTATGTCTTTGGAAAACATGTTTATTCAGATCTCCTGCTCATTCTTAAATCAAATACTTTGCTATTAATTTTTATGAGTTCTCTACACATTTTGGATGTTACCTACTTTCTGGTATATGGTTTAAAAATATCTTCTCTCATTCAGTAGGTTGCCTTTTTAATTTGTTGATGGTCTCCTTTGCAATGAAAAAATTTGACCAGTGATCCCACTTCTAGGAATATATCCCAAGAAACTAGAAACACCAATCAGAAAGGATATATGCACCCCTATGTTCATAGCAGCACAATTTACAATAGCTAAGATTTGGAAACATTCTAAGTGCCCATCAGCAGATGAGTGGATTAAAAAACTGTGGTACATCTACACAATGGAATACTACACTGCTGTAAAAAGGAAGGAACTCCTACCATTTGCAACAGCATGGATGGACCTGGAGAGCATTATGCTAAGCAAAATAAGTCAGTTGGATAAAGATAAATATCACATTATCTCACTCATTTGTGGAATATAATGAACAACATAAACTGATGAACAAAACCAGATCCAGAGACAGAGAAGCATCGATCAGACTGTCAGACCTCAGAGGGAAGGCAGGGGAGGGTGGGAGTAAAGAGGAGAGATCAACCAAAGGACTTGTATGCATGCATATACTAATAAGCATAACCAATGGACACAGACACTAGGGGGGTGAGGGTAGGAGCGAGGAGGTGGGGGGGAGAGTGAGGGGGGATAAGGTCACATATGTAATACCTTTATCAATAAAAAATAATGAAGAAACATTTTAGTTTAATGTAGTCCCACTTGTTTCTTTTTGCTTTTAATATCAGATTCAAGCAGTCATCACTAAGACCTAAGTCAAGGAGCTTACCACCTATGTTTTCTTCTTTATGGTTTCAGGTCTTACATTCAAATCTTTGATCCATTTTGAGTTAATTTTTGTGAATGGTATAAGGAAGTGGTCCAGTTTCATTCTTTTGCATGTGGCTGTTCAGTTTTCCCAACCCCATTTATTGAAGAGACTATACTTCCTCATTGTATATCTTGGCCCTTTTGTCATAAATTAGTGGATAATTTATGCATGGGTTTATTTCTGGGCTCTCTGTTCTGGTCCAGTGATCTGTGGGTTTGTTTCTATCATACTGTTTTAATAACTATAGCTTTGTAATATAGTTTAAAATCAGGGAGTGATTTCTCCAGCTTTCTTCTTCTTTCTCAAGATTATTTTGACTATTTGGGGTTTGTTGTGATACCATATATATTTTAGAATTTTTGGTTCTATTTCTTTGAAAAATTTCATTGGAATGTAGATTACTTAGAGTAGTATGGACATTTTAACAATATTGAGTCTTCCAATTCATGAACATAAATATCTTTCCATTTATTTGTATCTTTTTCAATCTCTTTTATTAATGCCTTATAGTTTTCATACAGGGTTTTCACCTCCTTGCTTACATTTATTCCTAGATATTTTATTCTTTTTGATGTAATTATAAACCAGATTATTTTCTTTATTCCTCTTTCTGATAGTGCATTATTAGTATGTAGACACATGACAAATTTTTGTGTATTGATTTTATATCCTCCAACTTTACTGAATTTATTAGTTCTAACAGTTTTTTTTAATGGAGTCTTTGGATTTTCTATATATAATATCATGCCCTCTACAAATAGTGACAGTTTTACTTCTTTCTTTCCAATTTGGATGCCTTTTATTTCTTTTTCTTGACTAGTTGATGTTTTTAGGACTTCTAATACTATAGAGAATTAAAATGGTGAGAGTGTCTTATTCCTGATTGTAGAGGAAAGGCTTTCAGCTTTTCACCTTTGAGTATGATGTAAGCTAATAGCTTCTCATATATATCCTTTATTACGTTAAGGTACACTCCTTCTGTACCCACTTTGTTGAGAGCTTTTATCACGTGTGGGTGTTGAATTTTATCAAATGCTTTTTCTGCATCTATTGAGATAGTCGTCTGATTTTTATCCTTCATGTTGTTAATATGGTGTATCACATTGACTGATTTGCAAATGTTGAACCATCCTTGCATACCTAGAATAAATCTCATTTCATCATGGTATATGATCCTTTTAGTGTATTGTTAATTTTGGTTTGCTAATATTTTGTTGAGGATTTTGCATTTATGTCTTCAGGGACAGGGTTATTTATCTGTAATTTTATTTTCTTGTGGTGTCCTTGTTTGGTTTTGGTATCAGGGTAATTCTAGCCTCATAAAATGAGTTTGAAAGAGTTCCTTCCTCTTCTATTTTTTGAAAGCGTTTGAAAGGGGTTGATATTAATTCTTCTTTGAAAGTTTTGTAGAATTTTCCAGTGAAGCTATGTGGTCCTGGACTTTTGTTTGTTGGGAGGTTTTTGATTAACCACAGGAATTTTGATGGAAATACCTGAGAGATCTATTTTTCTGGTGACTTTGTAAACAAAACAAAGAGGATATGTTTTGAATGACTGAACTCATACTGTGGAATGAACTGCATATAATCATTTAATTCACCACGCACTTAACTTAAGCAA